AACGTCAGTCTTATTTAAGGCACTGTTTGTTTATTTTAGGTCTTTGTTACAGGATATCCTTATATTAGCATATTCTACCTAATACAGTGTGATATAATTAATGTATGGCACTTTTGTGATGAATGGCCAGTGCTTTGTTCTAACAGGACGGTGGAAGACTTGCAAGGTAAGTAAAATAAAATATGTTAACATTATTCCTACTTTTCTGCTTTTACCACTTTTCTCCCACTTCTTGCCGCCAAAGAATTTCTCTTGCTGTTTATGTATATGATAAAAATATGTAAGGGCGCCTTCATTTTATGGTTGTTCTGAATCTTAGTTCCTGAGGAAAGTCCAACGAAAAGTTTGATCATGATAGAACTTTTAATCAGTGAATATTTATAGTTAGTTAGCCATTTCTCTTTAGCTATTCATTTTTCTACTTAAGATTGGTACCCACTGTCAGGTAGACAATACCTCAAAATTCCTGTCCTTGGATTTGCTTATATAACACATAATGAAAATATTTTGTAAAATTTCTTTATCCTTGACAGTGTCAAGAGTTGGTTGAATAGTGGAGGAAAATGGATTTTTAAAACTGAAAACATGAACAGAATGAGCCTGAGCCTGAGGATTGAATTGTTTTATTTTTTCAAATTAATACTCATAAAAAATGTTTTCTGTTACTTTTCAAAGAAGAGTCTACTACAGGGTCATTTCATAAAAGATCTGAAGTTGTTACAGGATTGCTTGGTACAGCTGAGCCTTTGGGGCCTGCTGTGAACAGTGCAGTCTTTTGGCCACATGGCTGCACCCTTGATGTAGAATTCTTTAGCAGGGGGAGGAGTTGATCCAATAGAAACAACATTAGTACAGATGAGAACAAAAGTCCTCCTGCCTCAGTTAAAGTTAAAACTGTATATTTAATTCATTACAATTATGAAAGGTTTGGCTAATATAAAAGCAAGCATTAAAGGAATAATTACTGTTTCAGCGAAAAACATAAAAAAGAATGTAAATTCCTAGAAATGGCAAGCTTTGCAGTCATTTGTGAAACTGGAAAAACGATCACATGAAAAAATTGAGGTGAGCACAAAAAGAGTGTATGCACCCTTAGTGTCTTCACACACTGAGCTGCCTTCTTTCAAGTGATAATCTGATAACAGAATGGTTAATTTAATCAACACACTTAAAAACATTGATTTCCTTTATATATTTTCAAAGCAAAATCATTTCTGTGGTTGCAATTTGCTTTATGAAAGGTTGCTTCAAGGTATATATTTCCATTGCCTTTTAGTCAAGTAGAACTAAAGCCCTTAAAAACTAATTAGCAATATAAGGTAGTAGCAACATAAGGAAGGAAGGACAGGTAGATCTTGAAATTAAGGCTTAGAAATAGATACACCCTGTACAGTGATATAAATGTTAAGAATCCACTGCAACCTATACTACTGAAGAGGTTGCAGTAGCCACTTCACCTCTACAGTTCTCTCAATTTCGCTTAAACCCACATCACTGGCAAACTGAACCAGCTTCTCAACCTAGTAGGGAAGGCCAGATAACAAAAGTTTTGCCAGTGATTTATATTACAAATTTAACAAAGTGAACATGCAGAGAATTACAATAGGAATAACCTTTTACAAATTCTGAGACCTTACTGTGCAATCTGCAGAAATTTTCAAGAAACAAATAAATGTGCTTTTGGTTTCTTGTGCCCACACAAATCTGGCCCAGATTAGCACTGTCATAAATCCAATTTTAACGTGAGCATAACACTCCAAATCCTCTTGATGGGAAATCGTGAGATACGGATGATTGACTTGATTTTCAAATGTGGAAAGTGGATATGAGTCTGCTTAATAAAATCCTAAAACAATAAAGAAGACATAGTAAGCATTAGTAATAACATCCTTGTTAAATGAACAAAATAGCACCTATACTATATAAAGAATGTGTTACCAGGAAGTAATTTTAATACTGGTCCTGTATAGGGAAGAATAGTCAGATGTTTGCAAGACATGTTTTTTTTTTTTCCCCCTACTCTACAACTAAGGCAGGTTACAAGAATATGTACTACTCAAAGTAGAAAACATGGGCAGAAGCCAGTAAACGTCATTTAAACAGATTGTGTAAAAGTTACTGTTATCCGTCTTCACAGCCAACAAAACAAAAAAAGCAAGATTGACAGTTTAGGAGAAATTGAAAGAAAATGTATTCATTAACTTTAGGTTTCAACACATGATCAGATTGAGGAGAATTTGGGGACCAGTGTCTTGACATTTTTACACAAGTTTTTAAGTAACCAAAATTCACTCAACACATGTACCTAACACATACTCAGTTCAAGGCTTGTCACAGTACTAGAATTTACAGTCAGGAATAAAACATAATTGACTTTCATGGAGCTAACAGTTTAGTGCAGGGTTTCTCAACTTATGACAAAACATTTTTAGTGGGTACAGTTCAGTGACATTATGTTCATCGTATTGTGCAAGCACCACCATCCATTGCCAAATTTTTCTGTCACCTTTAACAGAAATTCAGTGTCCCCTAAGCAATCACCCTCCTTTTCCTATCCCTCCCACCCCTGCTAACAACTTACGATCTTTGGTCTATATACATTTCCGCTTTATAGATACTTCATGTAAGTGGGATCATAAAATATTTGTCCTTCTGTGACTTATTTCATTCAGCATAACATTTTCAAGGTTTATCCATGTTGTTGTATGTGTCAGGACTTCATTTTTCTCTATGGCTGAGTAATATTCAATATTGTGTGTATATTCCACATTTTGTTTATCCATTTATCCGCTGATCAACATTTAGATTGTTTCCACCTTTTGGCTATTTGCTGTGGTGAACACTGTTTTACAAGTATCTGTTTATGTTCCTGCTTTCAATTCTTTTAGTATATACCTAGTAGTGGAAGGAGTCCCTTCCCTGGGTGGCGCGGATGGTTAAGCACTTGACTGCTAGCTGTAAGCTGGGCAGTTCAACCCAGAGGTGCCTTGCAGGACAGCCCTGGTGATATGCTTCTAAAAGGTCACAGCATGGCAGCTAACAAGGTAGTTTTAGATTTAACTTTTTGAGGAACCCCCGAACTTTTTTCTACAGCAGCAGTATCAGTTTTGCATTCCCAATAGCAATTTGGCAATATTTGTTGTTTTTCGTCTTTTTTGATCGTAGCCATCCTATGGGGCTGAACTGGTATCTCACTGTGGTTTTGATTTGCATTTCCATGATGACTAATAACATTGAGCATCTTTTTATGTGCTTGTTGGCCATTTGTATATCTTTTTTTGGTGAAATGTCTATTCAGATTCTTCGTCCATTTTTTGATTGGGTTGTTTGACTTTTTGTTGTTTCAGTTGTAAGAGTTCCTTATATATTTTGGATATTAAACTCTTATCTGATGCATGGTTCCCAAAAATTTTCTCCCAATCTGTTGGTTGTCTCCTTGTTGATAAAGTCCTTTGATACCCAGATTTTTTTTAAATTTTGATGAAATCCAAGTTACCTATTTTGTCTTGTTTTTGGTGTCATGCCTAAGAATCCTTGTCAAAAACTAGATCAAGAAGTATTATTCTTGTGTTTTCGTCTATGAATTTTATGGTCTTAGTTCTTACATTTAATCCATTTTGAGTTAGTTTTCATATATAGTGTGAGGTATGGGTACAGCTTCATTTTTCTGCATGTGCAATTCCAGTTGGCTCAGCACCATTTATTAAAGAGACTACTTTTTTGCCTTGCCATTGAATGGACTTAGCACCCTGTTGAAAATCAGTTGACTATGGATGTATGAGTTTATTTTTGGACTCTGAATTCTATTCCAGTGCTTCATAGGTCTATCATTATACCAGTAACAGACTGTTGTTGTTTTTTAATTGTTATAAAAATATATGATACATTTGCCAATTTAATGTTTTTCAGTGTAGAATTTAGTGGCATCAGTTAATCATGTGCAACTGTCACCAATGTCTGTTGCCAAATTTCCGTCACCATAAACAGAAACTCAATGCTTCCTAAAAAAAATGACTCTCCCCCCCGCCTTGCCTTTGGTAACCAGTAATAAACTTAGGTCTGTATACTTGTGCCTATTCTAGCTATTTCATGAGTGAGATCACACAATATTTGTCCCTTTGTGATTGACTTACTTCACTCAGCATAATGTTTTCAAGGATCATTCATGTTGTAGCATGTATCAGAACTTCATTTCTTTTTATGGCTGAGTAATATCAATTGCATGTGTATACCGTTTTTTTTCATCCATTCATTTGTTGATGGGATAGGTTGTTTTCGTCTTTTGGCAGTTGTGAACAGTGCTGCAAGGAGCCCTGGTAGTGTAATGGTTAAGCAAAAGGTTGGTGGTTCAAACCCGCCAGTGGTTCTGTGGGAGAAAAGACCTAGCAGTCTGCTCCTGTAAAAATTATAGCCTAGGAAACCCTATGGGGGCAGTTCTACTCTGCCCTATATGGTCACTATAAGTCGGAATCGACTCGATGGCTCAAAACGACAGATAGTGCTGCAGCAAACATTGGTGTACATGTGTCTGTGTCACTGCTTTCAGTTTCTTGGGTATATACCTAGGATTAGGATTGCTGGTCATATGGTAGTTTTATGTTTAACGTTTTGAGGAACTGCCAAACTTTTCCACAGTGGCTGTATCAATTTTGCATTACCACTAGCAATAGATGAAGGTTCCAATTTCTCTACATTCTCAACAATGTTTGTTTTTCATTTTTTTGATCATAGCCATCTAGTGGGGGTGAACTGGTTGGTATCTCATGTGGTTTTGATTTGCGTTTCCCTAATGGTTAATGAAGGAGCCCTGGTGGCACAATAGTTAAGCATTCAGCCACAAACTGACAGGTTGGTGTTTCAACTCACCAGTGGCTACATTGGAGAAAAGACCTGGTAAAATCTGCTCCCGTAAAGATTACAGCCTGGGAAACCCTATGGGGCAGTTCTGCTCTGTCATAGGTTTGCTATGAGTTTGAATTGACTCAGCAGCTCAAAACAACAGTAGTTAATGATGTTGAACATCTTTTCATGTGCTTATTGGCCATTCGTATTTCTTCTTTGGTGAAATGTCTATTCAAATCTTTTGCCCTTTTTTTTTTTATTGTGCTTTAGGTGAAAAGTTGATAGCTCAAGTTAATTTCTCATACAAAAATTTATGCACATATTGTTATGTGACCCTAGTTGCAACCCCTGTAATGTGACAGCACACTCCCCCTTTCCACCCT